TCTTCAGCAAATGAAAGTCAAATTTCAACTTCATTCTGACTACTTGGCAAAAGTGGGCCACAGAATTTTACTCCAGTCCTATAATTAACCTTCCTTTGGCAGAAAATGTTATCTCTGGCATGGCCCTTATTCAGAACTGGGTAGTCTGAAATCTAATTTTTCACCACTTGAACACAGACTGCTTCTTAAGTCAATGGAGGCTTGACGTGCAAATGTGTTAAGTGCTTGGAAATGAGCTTGAGAAGATTTGATCAAACACAAAAAAGGGAGTGATATTTCAGCAGTAGCTGTGCTTTGTTCTTCATTTGATTGCATTACTAACCTCATCAAAATCATCACCAACTTTTCTTGTAAGAGCTTCTGTTATCTCTTGCGCAATATCTTGCTGTTCTGTGATATCTTGCATCATGTCATCAATTTTGTCCAGATCCCTGAAGAAACAAACATGCCAATAACTTGATTTCTCCAAATGAATTCACAGGTCATAACCCGACTTGGAAAGGGGCCCCATTGGTAGACCCAATATTTTGCATGCAGGGATCTCAATATTGTTGGAATGTATGTGGCCTGAAAAGCACAGGCTTCAATGAATTATGGCCCAGGTCATACAGAGGTAGAGCTGTCAACAGTCTGGAGGGGGGAAAAATCTCCTGTCTCTTTAATAGGGGCTTAATGGGATGTTATTTACTGGGATGTTATTTATATTTCCTTCCATGCTATGAGGTTTCAGCTGCCCATTTTCATACCTTAAGCCTCTATTAAAGGACAGGACATTATTATCCAGGGCTACTGACATCACTATCCAGAGGATGAACTAGTGTTGTCAGCCCAAGGCTAGCAACCAGCTGGAGGCCTACTGATAGGGTTGCCAGGTTCCTACATTTTGTCAGCAGGGGGCTTCCCACCTCTCCAGGATCTTCTTGCACATGCACTATGATGACTTCACCCAGAAGTGACATCATTGCACTAGGCATGTTGCGGGGGAGGGGTCACCAAAGAGTTTTGGCCGAACACTAGAGCGTCCCCCCACAACGTGCCTGCCACAATGACATCACCTCCAGGTGACATCTTTGTGCTGGGCACGTCCGACATCGCAGAGCTCTTCAGGGGTAGGGCTCCCCCCACCGGCCAGCTGGCCTGTAGGCGGATTGGTGGGCCAAAATCGGAGGAACCCCTGCCCCTATTGGGGGGATGGCAACCCTACCTACCAGCAATGGGGAAGCTCACCAGTGACATCATGACATTGCCAGAATTGCTGTGACATCATACCAGGCACAACCCAGAAGTAGTGACATCAAATGGGGTGATGCTGTAGCTACAGGCTCACACTAAATGGACATCATTGCATTGCCATCACAGGCAAGTTTCTCCTCCATTTTCCCCCTCAAGCCCACCTTGTGAAGGAAGAAGACTGCCGATGAAGTGAGTGTGGGACAGGAAATAGAATGTTCAAGCCCTGCTGTTGGCACACATAACAGACATAACCAATGGGTAGCTTGAACTGGCCACTAGCAAAAGCCAGTCGGAATAGGGAAAATGAAAATGCTCTCGCAAGGACTGAATTCCAGCACTTCCTAGAATGGAAAGTTGTACAGGCCAATAAGATCCATGGCTAAAGTCCACAGTGCTCCCACAATATTAGTCTCTCTAGCCAAAAAGGAAACCAAACTTCAACAGCAGCCAAAGATTGTAGCCATAATGACAAAGAAAATATCCCAAGAAATGTTGATTTTCCCCCCACTTACATATTTTCGTGTACTTTTTTCATTGCTTGGGCAGCATAACCCATGTTTTTGAATACTTCTGTGTTTGTGTAGGAATTTTCAAGTGCTTCACGCTGGAATTCAATGGTGGAAAGCGTCCCATCAATTTGGGTCAACTGTTTCTCGTATCTCTTTTTTCTCTTCAGTGCTTGCAGTGCAACTGTTTGCATAACAAGAGAGAAGATATCAGCTATGTATCATTTCATAATGCAATAGAAATGCAAATGCTTCACATATTTAGTACTGGACAAGGAAGGAAGGAAGCAAAATAGAAAACCTGAACACTGAAGGGTAAATGTAGGAGACCTAGAATCTCTCAGTCCCTTATGAGGGTCCTTTCCAATTTGTCATAAAGAACCATGTAAATCTATGTTTCTATTCCATGCATGCAGCAGAAAACTCCACACTAGGACTAATTTGGCTTAAGAAAACTGTATGGCGGGGGGGGGGAGAGAGAGACAAGAGCCCTCCCTCCACCAGAGAGTTGCCAACTCCCACTTGGGAAATCCCTGGAGAATTGGGCATGGAGCCTGGGGAAGGGAGGGAACTTGGCAAGAATGTGATTGAAGCTGCTATTTCCTGCAGAAAAACTGTAGTCTGGAAACCGAAGCAAATCAGACCCCACAGACTTTTAAAACAGTCTTTCCTGCAGCTGCTGTGTGGCTGCAGAGAAAGCAAGTTCCTTGGACCTGACATTAAAAAAATATGTGTAGTATTGATACTGTCAGTATGTATTATCATTACTCCTCCCATGTACTGCCATTATTATTATTACTATTAGTGCCATATAATCTGTTTCAACTGCAATTTGGTATATAGTGGGGGGTGGGGGAATGCTACCCAAGAACAAAAAGTGAAAAATCCCATAGATCGTTTACATTTAAAAGGAACAGTTGTGTTGTGGCTCAGTCCATTCATTTGGTCTGATTTTTACTTTATGAGTGGTTTTAAAAAGAAGTGATGAATTGACCTATGAATTTCTCTTAGATCAGGTCAAATCAAAAGACACAATTACAGACGTCACAATTCCTTTGCAGTTGTGTGCTGCTGGGACAGGTACCCTAAATGCTTTAATGTCACATCCAATGAACATTTCAAATCACAAGGGTGAGAAAATAGGTGGCTGTCTGTGAACTACACCACTACACCATCTTGTGGCACCCTAAAGATTATCCATTGTGTTTCTGTTCCATTCACACCCTTTCCTCCAAGGAGTTCAAGGGCACATGGTACCTGACACCCCCATTTTGTCTTCAGGACTACTTTGCCCAAAGTTAGCCAGTGACCTTCATAACTGAGTATGGATTTGATCATGGGCCTCCGTAGTCCCAGTCCAACACTGTAACCATTACACCACACCGTTTCCCATTTGAAAGTATCAGTAATCCTAGACTCTTTATGGAACTGTAAGACTCAAAAATTAACAGTTTACCCTGCCCCCGGAAGTGGTTAAATATGAAACGGCTAGTCAACTAGTGTGATTTGCAAGGATCAGTGTGGCTCCAGAAGCACTAAAAGAGTTCCACTTCCAGTAATGTAATTCATATCAACTCCACATTAGGACTATCACTTCCGTGGATTCTAAGGGGCCTGTGATGCTACGCAAGCTTTTGTTTTCACTGTTACATATAAGTTACCATATTTTCTTATAGTCGTTTTAAGAAAGCACCCAAAATGCATAGTTTACTACTGGAAATTGAGATTAATTGGACTGAAGAACACTTCTAAGCGTGCTAGACTGGGCCCTTAATAATGTAATTACGGAGTAGGGGAGATATGCTTCATGGCTTCCAATTATGCTCAGACTCTTAAATCTGTCCTTCTTGCAGTAATTTACTTCCATACTTAAGAAGGCCTACACCCCTCAAGGACATACTCAAACTCATGTCTTCATTTAAACTTCCTGTCTATAACATCTCTCGATACAGACAACTGCAGCACAAACAGGCTTCTTGCGCTTCAGTAAAACAAAGCTAACCCATCGCTGAAGGCATGTTCTTCCAGATGTGCCCTGACTACAGCGCAAAGATCAACTATTTTCAAGTGCTTGGATTCAGCAAGCTCTCTGTTGCACCCACTATATATAGAAACGCACACCGTAAATTTAGCTGATTATGGCTGTTCCGGCTGCAAACAATCAGTGGTGTGACAGGTAAATAACAGCCTTGTGTAGAACCAAAAAGGAGATGCTGACTGGCAGCAGCGGATAGAGGGAGCTCTCAGGATCAAAGCAACCAAACTTTGAGGACTTTGAACTTCACGATCTACCCAGTCTTGTTTGACTGGCTCGGCAACTGCAAAGCATTCGAAGAACACGTCATGAACCTCATTTCAACCCCTTACGTCATCGGAAATACACATTTTTAGTGAGAGCAAGGCTACTCCCTCTAACTTGTATCCTGAGCCATCTAGACAGATTTTAAAAACATGCACATTTTGTTGATGCACATAAAATGTCCTTCATTTTGCAAAAGTTAATATTGTATGACATTAATACATTAACAAGAAGAGTTTGGCAGTGTCAGAACACATGTTCTGAACGCATCTTTCATTACCAACCAAATTAACAAAATTATATCCCATAAAAATGTTGTTTTCTTTATGCCATGTGCATTGATTAATTTCAAAGCCACCCACATAGAGCACCTTTTAGGGCCAGAAATATCTGGCCCCACTGTGCCTACTTGGTAGCACACCTGTGGGGAGGGAGTTAGTGCTCTCATAGCCATCGCGGAACCTTTGAGTAGCAGTTGCTGAAACAGGAGTGATGAGTTTTTCTGCTAACATCTCCTAGTACCAGGATCCTTGATTTGAATAGGATGGGGGGGGTATGAAACAAAAAGGGGTACTAAACCCTGTACACACAAAAATCCTGTGCCAGGTTCCTTCTTTTCAGCATCTTTCTTCCAGCATTGTGTCTGCTGGGTGCTTTACTGAGAAGCCTTTAAACAACAGCATTTGTTCATTCAGTAAATGCAGGTCTGTTATTTATTTGCTGCACAGTCAACATTCCTTAATCTTGAGGATGTATTGTACAGAACACAAACTTACTTCACAGACACTCATAGTGACAGGAAGAAGAAGATCCCCATTCCAAAGAGTTCAGAAAAAGAACAGAGCCAGTTAAGAGTCAAAGAGTAATCTGAGGAAATAAACATAATATCACAGGTCACTTAATCTTTACACTGCCATTATTCAGAAGTACAATAGTAAGAGAAGCGCGAAAGCTCTTGCCTGGAGTTCTGGGGGGATTTATGTTAAAGTAGTATTCATTATGCACATCCCTGCTGAAATCCAAAATAAAGAAAAAAGGCTTCCCTGAGAGAGTGGAGACAAAACTAGCATAAAGGCTACAAGGCATGCCACAGTTGCTGACACATGCATTGCTCAAATTCAGAGCTAGAAGCCAAATAAAATTTGCAGTACTCTTCATTAATGCCTCCAAGCATCGAACTCCGATTATTTCACCAGTGCACAGTGATCAGTGTCTGCAGGCTTAGATTGCATCCTCTTTCTTTTACAGTTTTTTAAAAAATTAGAATATTTGTCACATGCGACTAGCGAAGGTGAACACAGCGTGCCGCCTGAGCCTGCTGCTCCTTGCCGCCTCTCACCACTTATCCAAGCTAAGGACAGTTTGGGAAGCCCTGCTGGAGCATTAGGCGCTCTAGTTCCTAAGCAGAGGCAGCGGGTGGGTAAAGGACTAGAAATAGCAAGGTTGGGGTTACAGGAGAAAACAAGGTGATGGCTGCTATCCTCCCAATATGTACCACTAGGGCTGCCATCTCTGGTTTGGGAAATTCCTGGAGATTTGGTTGTGTTTCCCAGAGTCAATCCATCTCATGCTGGGTCTTCCTCTTTTACTGCTGCCTTCAGTTTTTCCTAGCATTATTGTCTCTTCCAGTGACTCTTGTCTTCACAGACTGTGACCAAAGTACGATAGCCTCAGTTTAGTCATTTCAGCTTCTAGGGAGAGTTCAGGCTTGATTTGATCTAGAACCTACCTGTCTTTTTGGCGTCTGGTACCTGTAAAACTCTCCTCCAACACCACATTTCAAATGAATCAGCTTTCTTCTTGTCAGCTTTCTTCACTGTCATCACAGAGTTTTTGAGGTAAGAGATGCTCATAAGTGGTTTAACCATTGCCGCCTTCTGCGCAGTACTAACCAGGGTTAGCTGCAGTGGCACTACCTCTGTCTATGAAAGATCCTCACCTCCAACTACCACTGCTGGCCAGTAGCTACCCTTTGAAGACTCCTCTGCTCCCATCACCATTGGAACTGTCTGTTCTCTTCTGCTGCTGATTAACTGCGCTTCGGGTTCCCAAATCCCCCCGGGGGGCGGATTTCCCCCCGCTTTCAAGGCCCGACTTCTGCCCCGCGCGGAATTGGGCCCGGGGGAAACCCCACCCCTGCGCACGCGTCACCCGGAAGTGACGTCGCACGCTGGGGGCGGGGCCACGCCATTTGAGGGGAAAACTCTTTGTTTTCCCCTCAAATGGCATGGCCCCGCCCCCAGTGTGCGACATCACTTCCGGGTGACGCGCTCCCGGCCAAAATGCCTTTGGCAACCCTAACTGCACTACAATAATTTTTTTAAATGCTGTCTAATATGTGTTCAAGTTTTTAAGAACTCTTCATCAAGAAAAAAGAAGGTGGGTGAAACAAGGAAGAAAAAACATGCATTTGTTCCAGGCCATGATTTTAAGGTCCCTTGCCTACATCCATAGTAGATGCCAGATATGAATGGATGACTGCTGGGAGAAGCTATTATAAGATTGCAGCTTAGGCCTTCTAGGCAGAAAAGGGTAGGGGGAAGACAATGGTGATGAAAAGTGCTGTTAAGTCACAGCCAACATATTGCTACCTGGAGGGTTTTCAAGGCAAGAGAACAAAGGTCATTTTGCCATCGCCTGCCTCTACATAGCAACCCTGAACTTCCTTGGTGGTCTCCTATCTAAGTATCAGCCAGGGCCAACTTGGCTTAGTTCCCAAGATCTGACGAGACTGAGCTAGCCTGGGCCATCCAGGGCAGGAGGGGGAAAGGGAAAGACAATGGCCATCTCTAGTTGCAAACATAGCAACCAAAGGTTAGTCAAATGTCTAACACTGAACAGAACTTAGGGGTCCCTTAAAATTCCGAAAGGTGAAGGAAAACATG